TATTTCACAATCTCCAGTTGTTTTTGGTCTATCTTTATTGTTACTGGGGTTGGTTGTCTCAGAATTTTCATTACTTTTGTTTTTTTCACATTCATTTCCATGCCATAGCACCTTCCAATTTCGATTAGTCTATCAATCATACCCTGTAGCACAGTTTCTTCCTTAGCCATTAACACAAGGTCATCTGCATATTTCACAGTTTGAATAATTTGCCCTCCTAATTTGAAGTCTCCAAGCCCATCCAGAGCTTCTTTGGTAAGGCGTTCACGGTACAAGTTGAACAAAATTGGTGATAAACAGCATCCTTGTCGAACTTCTCTTCCAATCTTCACACTTCTTGTCTCCCCTCTGTCCAGTCACACACTTAACTTTCTGATCTATGTACAATTTATTAATCAATCTTCTTTCAAGCCAATTGATGCCTGTTTCCTTTAGGATCTGCATTAATTTGGTCCAATTTATGGGGTCAAATGCATTATAATATATATTGACATAATTTATGTTCCTTTAAAACATTTGATAACACAACAAAAGAATATGGATGAATGTCTTGGGGTTACATCAAGACAAGCCAAAAAATGTATAAATTTACAGTTAACAAGATTCAACTTATAACAATTTCTGTTATCTTTCATTTCGGTAAACAAAGGATTACTTGCAACATGTGACACAAAAAAAAATTATGTCCATACATTGAAAAAGGCGAGGAAGTTATATATTTGTTGAAATTGTGGCTTATCACTTTATTGATAATGGAAAATCTGTGTAAATATTATGGCATTCACCATCAACAAGTTAACCTCTGAGGCTTTTCTTTTGCCTCATTCCCATGGTAAGCTGTCAGGCAGAGCCATTCAAATGTGTAATTTTCAGATATCCTTGCTTACACTTCCCTGTACACTTAAGTAGTAAGGGTTGTGTACTACAGGAATATATGGCAGATCTTCAGTAGCCTTCAGTTTCTTGCGATTTCACCGGAAATGCCCCACACATTTCCTCTTTAAGTGGCATATACTTGTACCATTCACATTTATTTCAGAAAACCTATTTAAATTGTGCCTAATGAACACTAATTAGGTTTGTCTGCCTCAAACATGAAGCAGTTTACTGAGCAGAAGTCTATTTACCTGTATCTGTATCTTTATTTTAATTCCATAGATCCTTACTGGCTATCAAAGCCATCAGATATAAAACATGTGACATTTGCATATATTAGTTTTGAACACAGAACTGGGCACCTTAAAACTATATTCACAAAAGAAACAATAGTTATACATAATTCAGTAATTTAACAAGCATATAGGACTCATCAACTTGACAGTAATACCTTATTAAGATCAGAGTTTATATATATAAACAAATATCACATTATAATCAATTAATTTATACAATGTACCACATAAACAGCACTGTAGAAGGTTTAATTTATCTTCGTATTTAAAATATTTGTCTAATGGATAAAATGAATGGAAATACAACAAAATTTTCGAGGTAACATATATTGTGAAATTCCTTTCAGTAATGTTTGTAACAAAGGCATCCTGTGTAAGTTTTATGACAGAGAAAGGTTTGCTTCTATTTCATGTTTGACAACCTCACCACAATCTGTGGACTGTTTAGAAAATGTGGGAGCCTAGATGTCTCACAACCCAATAGGCCTTCATGGCCTGTTACAGGGATAGCTTTACCTTACCTTTTAATTATGTGTAACTGCATATCAGGATCAAAGGCTTGTCAGTATTAATACCTTGCATAATTTTCAATCATAGCAAAATATCTATTGGATTGAAGATGCATATTCACTGTGCTCCACTGACATAAAAATTCCTTCTTTAACAAGGCTTAACCATAACACCATCATTCCCTGTCTCTTATTCTGCAACTGGGCAATTATATGTATAAGTACCCACATTCTCTTTCATTTCCTGTACTCTTGCATGTCTCAAAAGGATACTTCATAAAATCACACTTTGCAATTTCCTGTATGCACACATACATGAATCCTGTGCTGATAATGCAGTCGTAAATGGTCAAGTTATATGTCCACATCTTTCTTCCTTATACAGCAGGGCCTCGTATTATTTTAGGCATTGTCAAATGTTAGAACAGCTCTCGCCATCACTCTGTGCAAATTCTGAATCTTTTCTGAGAGAATTCTGCAGAGCTTCTACCTAGGTCTGCTGCATCTGTGGTTCTGACCTGAGCTTCTCTGCTGCTTGCTACTCATTTATATCTACAGCACCCTCTATTTTACAGGTGACTGAATCACATTTTCAGAAAATATCAGACAAGGGAAATTAGAATATATTGCAATATACTGTGGTATTTGCATTCTGATACAGCTTTTATTTTCTTGGTGTTGCCCCAGGAACATGCTTCTTACCGTAAAGATAGTGTTAATGTTCTGTGGTAGGATTAGGGTAGGGGTGCCCAGGTTATGGTAGCATCACCTATCAACCTTAGGATCCCTGACCAAATGAAAAGCTTCTGTTCTTTGGTAGAGAGGGTATGTTATATTCCACGAAGTAAACAACAAAAATAAATGTGTATATTACATATATTGTCATGTGTTTCACAGTGACTAAGACGCGGGTTTGGTTTGGTGAATTGGTTTATTGGACCTTCACCAGTTGTAACTACAAATAATTGTAACACTTTTAAGATTACTGTAATTATAACACACATCAAGTCTTCACAGGTCTTCTGTTCACTTCTCTCACAAGCATTCTGCACAAGTCTTCACGGGTTTATAACACGGGAACTATAACAGTCTCACTGAACCACACACTCCAAGTATTATATAGGAATGAAGTCTTCTACAAACTTCCCGAGGCTATCTTCCACTGAGAACTCAGAATTGTAGTGCCATTTGTTTTTAAGATAACTCCTTAGCAAGGAACTCAATAATTATAAATACTGGATGAATTCAGTTCCAGGAAAAGATAATAATGTATGTGGGTGAACAGAGACTGTACTCATATCTGCTAATAGTATATTGCCTAACTGCAATACTATCATGTCCTATAAAAGTCGGTTTACACCTAAGTGCTGATTGTTACTCTAAAAATATACAATAACAGCATGTTTTTCTAGAATTGAAATTACTGCTTACTGTAATGTTCTAGTCATGTTAGTCTCTTTTACAAAAATAATTTATAGAGATTGCATGATTCAACAGTTGAACTAGTTATTAAAACTGTTATAGAAATTAAACTCATTTAGAATATCTTACATGTAATTTTCTCACCAAGGGACATTCCCAACCTATTTTGCCCTGGGCCTCACAATTCTATATGTCACCATCTGAAATACAGAGAGGTAAAAAAAATGTACTCACTCTTTGATAGTCAGTATCTTCAGAACAAAATGACATGTAGTTGCAATTCTTGCGCAGAGAGAGAGAGTCATTGTATGTGTTTGAAGTGACCACCATCAGTGGCTAAACAGCGTCGATGCCGCCGAACTGCTGAGCGAACTATGGCTGTAAGTATGTCTGGTGTGATGGCTGCACATGACGCTTCAATGGTTTCTCATAGCGCATTCAGTGTAGCTGGCTTTTATCGATAAACTTCATCCTTCAAGGTTCCCCATAGGTAGAAGTCGAGAGGTGTTAGGTCTGGAGACCGTGGTGGGTACTCTATAGCACCTCTCTGACCTATCCATCGTCCAGGTAGAGTGATCTCGATGGTAGTGAGGTGGAGCACCATCTTGTTGTAGGTAAAATCTCTCATCTCCAAACAGCTCTCGAATGGCAGGGAAAATCGATGTCTGAAGCATATCGAGATACACCTGACCAGTTACGGTACCTTCAAAGAAGGAAGGACTGGACTTGTTACTATCCGTGGTCACCCAGATCTTTGCTTATATACATCATGCACAGTACCATCGGTTTCAAATTTATCCCTAATATGGGCAATTGTTCGACGTGTTGGTGGCTGGGTTCCAAGCTCATTCTGCCATTGTCGTTGTACCTCTTTAATGTTTTTGTACTTCCAGTACCACTTCAATACAGCCTTGCGTTGCTCAAAGAACAACCTTTCAGCCATTGTTGCTGCTGTCTTCTGCTCGCAGAGCGCATATGGCACGACACTCATGTGACCTTTGCCATCTGTTGAGAAAACATTACACTACACTACCGCGCAAGAACTGTAACTATATGTCATTTTGTCCCCCCCCCCCGTATAGCTGCCAAGGAAAATAAGAGCCTTCATTATTCACTACACATACCTGAAGGTTAGATACGGTTATAAAAGTAAAAGGTAGTTATCCCAGCACTTAATTAAGCATCTCACCATGACAATGTATGGGGAATAGGAATATAGCTCTACACATTCTTAACCTTGACACTAGGAGGAAGTGAGTGGTCATCTTCATGCTCCAGCTATTTTACCCCCAGGGAAAGAGCCCCCTCTACCAATTAGATGCGAGGCTGGATCAGCCCCAAGGCCATCTAAACGTTGTGAAGAACAAAAAAAAATCTCTGCCACTGCTGGGAATCAAAACGTGATTCCTTGGGAATGCTCATAGCCTAATCGCTATACTGACTGAGCTGAACATTCAAAATTTGAAGATTTCAGACCAAGAACATCACAAATGCTTTATTCTGAAGGTGTTAACTTTTTTCTTTTTGGAATTGCATGTTAGAAAGCACCCCCCCTCCAAGTTCCGAGGTAGAAAATGTATGGAACTATACCTCAAATTGTCACGTCTTCATGGCATGATAATTAAGGACAGGCACAATTTCCAACTTTCATTTTCTACTGACCACATAAACTTAATACCATTATACCACCCTATAAAAACTGCCACTTCATGACATGTTTTATGTAACAGAATACCTTTTCATTTGAGAGAGCAGGTAGTAATTTTTATATGATGGTTTGTGAATTTCAAATTAAATTAATTCTGAATATTGGTCATGGTATTGGTTCTGCAGGTATTATGAGTATACAGCCCTCCCCTACCTGAACTCTTTTTTATTGACTTGATAGTGTATTCTAATTAAATCATTTGATTGTGACAATGATATAAAATTGGAAAACCCGTTTGAAGTGCCTGAATTCAACATCTTTTACAAATGTTTGTAGTATATCTTTCATGGCATAACTGCGTACACTTGATACCACGCCACATCCCACATCATGAGGAAAAATGTATTCCTTCCACATTGAAAGTATGAAGCAGCCTGAAACAAGAAGAGTGATGAACTGTTATCAATTTTTAGCATATTCATTAACTGCAGTTCATACTGTGTCTTTATAAGGCCCTTTATCGTACAGTGAAACCCCCATTTAATGTTTCTCAGTTCAAGGTTTTCCCTCATTTAACATTAAATTTAAATTACCTGAAGTCAATAATCTCACTGTTTAATAAGCCCAATTTATGACTTTCCTCAACTCAGTGCTCAGATCAACAGGCATACTTTCATGAATGGAATGATTTGGAAAGTTTCATCAACATAAATAATTATGTAGCAATAAGAAAAAATTAAGTTTCTATCTGTAGTTGAACAGTATAAAAACCCACTGAAAACATGTATCAACATGTTGCAGCTGTTGAAAGTCACTCAGCAAGATGATAAAAACAGATCATGTGACCATTATATACTTTCATACAGTGTCTTGGATCAAATTAAGATGATGTCTGCTATTCACTGACAAGTGGAGTATCTGTCATCCCTAATGGCCAGTCTTGCATAAATGCTAAGTTTTCAGATGTTTGGCTTTTAGCTGCAGAAGAATCCTGGATTAAGTAAAACCTTAATTTTAACCCTTTTAAATCTGACTGCAACTACAAATGGTAAAAGCCATGAAAGCAACTCATACACATTGTAGGATCTGAGGTTCTCACAGCAGTAGAAAGGAAAACTGCCATCTCCTGGGATATAGCACCATGTAGTCTGTATATAAACCATCGTTTTGGAGGAACCTATCACCTCAATCTTCAGAGCAAGAAACCAGCAAGAGCAGGTGGCTAGGCAGAATGAGCTGTCAGTTGGCATAACAATTATATAGGAATCAGAGGGTAAGAGGAATGGGTGTTGCCCAGTCCCTACTCGCTCACTACTATCTCTCTCTTGCCTGGATTCGCAGGTGAGCCAATAGGAACCAAGAGCTTTGTAGGAGTGTGCAAGGGCCAGTTTCAGAAAACAGGAGTATTCATGAGGCGGATAGCAGACAAGTAGGAGGAAGTAGACCAGGGTCAAGTGGCTAGCAGACCAGAGGTGGTAGGTGAGTCAGTCGGCTAGGGTGTTGAGTGGATCCATGTGGCCTCACAGAGATCAGAGATCCTGAGCATTGCGGTACAATACGATCTAAGTGAGGCCATGTGGATCTGCTCCACAGCCTAGCCGACTGACTTCCAACTCATTTCCGTCTCTAATGCAACCCAAAAGTTGTCACAATCTCTCTTTTATTTAAAATTACAGTAATATCACATCAATTGCTGTGTTTCGGCTCTACTCGGCCGTTTCAGGCAACTGTTCACTTATTGAACTGTCGCAGTGACTAAATCATAAGTCAGTTGCCTGAAGATGGCCAAGTAGGGATGAATTTAGTGTCATTTTAAATAAAAGAGACTGTGAATAGTTTTAGGATGCATCAGAGAAGGAAATGAATGAGTGAGTGATATATCAATGTAACAGGATGCTCAAATATAAAATTACTTAGAGAGTCTGTCAACAGGCACAAGAAAACCCTGACAATTATACAGTGTAGTATGGGATGTCTTGGGTTGGAGGCACTGCACCATAGTCTTCTCTGCTATTAATAATACAACTTAATTGGTGTTATTTTCTAGATTAAAGTCTAGCAATAATTCTTCCAAAACTGATGTTTTATGTCTTTATTACACTGTCACACCTACATGAAACATAAATGTGCCATTCTGCACATGTTGTTGCTGTACAAGCAATGACACATATTTCATTAAGTTGAAAATTTAATATTGATGTTGTGAACTCTGAGGCTCTGGCAGCAGTGACTGAAGAGCATTGTCTTCTGGGTATGGTACATATATTTTGGTCAACAGGTACCAAAGTTTCAAAGCAAATTGTTCCCTTCAGATTCAGGATGGAAGAGTCTATTCTATCCTGAAAACAGAGGCAGCAAGTTCCCTTGAAACTGATGGTACTATCTATTAAACAACATAGTTTCGCAATTAACGTCAATTGGACTGACATTCCACTGTATTAGAAATTCAGAAAGTGAAAAGCAAATTAACATTTTCACTCATTTTCTCATGCTTACAGCTAGGAAATGACCAAACACTTACATCATAAAGTCATCAATGTCCATAGTCCTGGCTCGCTTCAATTCTGAATTACTATTCTGTAAAATGTTTTCAATTTTCTGTTTCATGTCAAAGCTGTCTGGTATATCCTGAAACACAAAATAATTTATCATTCATTTGTGAAATGAACAACTGACTCTCCAGCCAAACACTAGGTCAAAGATGAAGTCCCAAGACGTGATCAACACTGTCATACTGTGGCAACCTGGAGTACAGTGTAACTCAAATGTTATCAAATGAATATGGGCACCCACACTGTTAGAAAGGCCTGCATTATTTGAGAAAGAATAATCTCTGCTATAATTAACCAAGATAAGAATTAATTATGATGGTTATTAAGCAATGTTGTACCAGTTGCTGAGATATGTACTAGCAATGGCACCCAAGTTCTGAACATCAGAACATCAGGTTTTAGTTTTACTTGATGATGGACAAACTCATTCCACCACTTCAATGTAATGAACTAAAGATGCTCCAACTAACTTACATTAACAATACCATTTTTAACTGCTGAGAATACAGTCAAAATTAATCAGTATTTTATTCTGATTTTATTTTATTGGGTTGGGCTGACATCAATTAAAGTAATTCATTCCCATTTATTATAACGTGCATATTTACATTATTTGGGGGATTTGATTTATGAAGAATATTACACTGCACTGTGCCTATACAGAATTAATGTATTATGAACATCTGGAAATTTTCTGGAGACACTTTGGTTCCCACATGGTTGGACTTTGTTTTAAGGCCAATTCGTTACCTCCACAGCATGGCATCTTCAGGACAGAAGTAAAGTAAAGAGATAAGCACAACCATGTATTGGAATCCTACTGAGCTCTGGGACTACACTGTTTGCTTAGATGGCCAACAGAGTTGGGTGAGGGAGCTTTGTTCAAAACAAGCCAATGGCTAATAGAGATTAATCTCAACATGTGACATCACAGGACCTCCTGATTTTCAGAGAGGGGTGTGCTCGAGGTACATACAACTCGAAGACATTGGCATTTTGTAATTCAAAGCAGCTCCATATGCACATGCACACGCCCATATTTGAAAACATTTTTGCCTCAAAGTTTTAATTTAAATTTATCAAAATATGCACATAAAGTTGTCCATGTGCTTAATTAATTAAGCACTATGCCATGAAGACATATGGGGGAGTGGAGGTATAGCTCCACCATTGTTGACCCTGGCATTATATGGAGGTGAGTGGTCAGCTTCATGCCCTGGGTGCTCTGCCCCCCATACAAATCAGATATGAGGCTGGATGCTGTGAACATAAGATTTTACCCTGCTGTGAATCAAACCCAGGTCTTCCGGCCTGCAGCCTGTCGCTATACTGCCTGTGCTACCCTGACTCCTATCTACATATATCTGCTTCTAATTTTGAAATTAAACACATTTTATCATTCTTGCAGTGATGAGTGCACAAGCAAAACAACTTCATTGTGCCACCAAATTAAAAAAAAAAAAGAAATCTGAATTAGAGGTGAAACATTGTGATTTCTGTCATGATTGCTACATGCACCTTCCCCATACAGCAACCTATGAGAAAAAACCTCCAAACCCTGAGCTAACCACTGTCTTCAGTTGTCTCAAATTAGTTGCTTTTTGTGTAAACCTCACCTTACATCTCTGTAGCCCACTTAAGGCTTCTGACCATATCACTAATTATTACAACTCACAATGTTGCTGAGGGAGCAGTGAATCCGGTAATTCTTCTCCAGTGCAGCAATAACAGCTGACTGTTTGAATGCTGCACTAAGTGTCCTGTTCTTCCGCACAAAAGCTATCCTAGTGAGACCATCCCACTCGGTGAAATTAATTGGTGGTGGTGGGTTTCGTGGTTCCAATCGCACAACACTAGATTCCACTTTTGGTGGTGGCCGGAAATTATTCTTGCCAACCTTATGAAATATTACAAAAACTGATATAAGAATATACAGCATATTAAATGCACAACTAGTAATTTGGTTGTGTCCCCTTTATTTCTCTACACATAAGAGTAACAAACGCTATGGAAGTACAAAGTAATATTCTGCCACAGATTCCAGAATATACAATAAAAATAAGTGTACTAGGCGATCACCCACTTTGTTATGTTACTTTTGTGACCTATACCAGCCCTATGTTGCACGACAGCTATTGCTCATGTGCGTGGCCCTCCTGGCCGAGCAATACATTTTATTGCTGCTACTACAACTGCTTTACCTAGGTTAAAATATGGTCACAAACCCCACAGCATTTGGAGATTTAAAATCATTGATCCATGGATAATAGAGATTAACAGAGACGGCTGTTAATTTGGATAACCTTCTGTTAATCACTACACTCTGAATATGCATTACGTGTTCACTGGAAACCATATATAACTCACATATTTATATACAATTTTTGGAAGACCCAGAGAATCAGAAAGGACTAGAATTAAATTGGCTAAATAAAATACTTATATATGCTAATAATGCTTTTATACAGAAATTCATTTACAATTCAGCCATGAAACTGAGGTAAAGCTAAATATATATGAATACCCATGCCATTAAATATGACCTGTAATAAAACCATAATATAATAATGAGAAATAGAATATTTTAAAATATGAAACAAGAGGTTCCCAGAGAAAATATACTGCTGTGTCCAAACCTTTCTGAGTGTACATCACACTTTGAATAGGAAACCTTAGAGAAGAAAAGTCCTGTGTGTTCAATGAGATATCTACTATAGTGATTCTGGTCCCCACTGTATGTTGAAAATTCAGTCTAATAAATTTCTAATGTTAACATAACAATCTACATCACTATCAGGTTATGACATAACCTCAAAGATGTTTTAGACATATCTTCATTATCAGTGTTTCATGATGAACAAACAGATAGTGATATAAGGTCTGACAGTAAGTAGATATCTTTGTAAAAAATATGTATTGTATATATCATCAGTAATCTTTACCGAATGTCATGATCTTAAAAATACTCACTTTCTAACTTTATACATAAATTACTATGTCTCTGCCATGTATCAATACACTGCTAAAATCATTCTTCAGAAGTCTCATCACATTGCCCAAATGCCTTCAAATTATTCCAAATGACAGCCTTATAAGACTTTCAATTCTCCAAACATAAAAAAGTCTCAAGGGACCAAATCAGGTAAGTGAGGTGGATGTGCCAATGCTTAGACGTTTCTGTCCAAAAACGGTTTCTGTACATCAGAAGGCAACTGTCATGATGCAAAATCTACTTATCTGGCGATATATTTTGTACTTTTCTTTAATGAATGCACTGCCTGCAATAAATGTTACAAAACTTGAAGCAAGAATTTTTTGTTGACTGTTTTCAGAAGAAATTCATGATAGGTAATTCATTTGACATCTGCATCATTTTGACTTTTGATTTGTACATGTCAGTTTAACTTTCTAACACCATTTATGTTTTTAAATCCCAAGTAAATCTAACTGGACCCCTCTGCAAGGACAAATCCTACCAATAGGATACTTCATAACACTGACCAATTATATTTATCATAGTGACTCTCTGATGTACCACACTGACATTCATATTCTCTCTCAAAATTGTAAAACAGACAGAGGTGCAAAGTGAAAGGTTTGTTACATGCTAAACAAATTTACTTATATTACTTTATAGCCTGATTTTGTTAAAAAAAAACACTGGCCAAATAACAACTTTCTAAGTCCATTTATTTTTCTGGAACATGAAATAAATCTGTGTGAACCTCTCTGCAAGGAGAAATCCTAACAAAAGAAAAAATATGTCAAAGACTGATCCATTACACTTAACACTGCAGTACCTCTTTGACCTACTGAAGTAACATTCATAAACACCACCAACCTTCATAAGTATATCCACTCTGGCAAGTAGCTGGGTGTTAACAGACAGTCTACAGTACAGCTTGTCACCTGGCTTGGCAACGAGCCTATAGGCAAACTCCCTTTGAAACATGATAACTGCACATCTGAAGAAAGGCCTATGCAGAAGCAACTTGAATACCAATGGGGAAGAGATCTGGTACGGTATATTAGCAACACACACATCAAAGAAAGGTAATTCTGTTTTCAATACATCACCAATCATAATCTGTAAATTGGACTGGTATGGTGTGCCTTGAACACGTTTCTGTAATTCTGCAACGAACCTAGGGTCAATTTCACAAGCCACAACTTTCTTTGTTTTCTCAAGCAACTTAATGGTCATGTTTCCAGTACCAGGACCAATTTCTAAAGCAACATCAGTTGGTCGTAGAGCAGCTTTATCCACCATACTCTGAATTATGAGTGGATTCTTCAAAATATGTTGACCAAAGTCCTTGTTGAAAAGGATTCCTGAAACAATGCAAGAAAACAATATGCTGAACACATAACTACCCAGTAAGGATCTCAGTAAGGAGGAGCATGTACTTACTGTAGAACATCAGATATAAAAGGGATCTTAATTACCAGACTGAAAAGGACTTTGAAAAAATGCCAAAAATATCAGCCATAGCAAAGATACTTAAAAGAAGAAGTGAAAGGAAAATAGAGGATGTACTTGGAGAAGATCAGTTTGGATTTAGAAGATGAAAAGGAACCACGGATGCAATTGGGATGTTGAGAATTATAGCGGAACGAACTTTGGAGATAGATGAAGAACTGTGTGTTTGCTTCATAGACTGGCAGAAGGCATTTGACCGGGTAAACTGGACAAAATTAATGCAGATCCTAAAAGAAACAGGTATTGACTGGCATGAAAGAAGATTGGTTAGCAAATTGTACATGGATCAGAAAGTTAGAGTACGACTGGACAGAGGGGAGACAGGAAGTGTGCAGATTGGAAGAGGAGTTCGACAAGGATGCTGTTTATCACCAATTCTGTTCAACTTGTACAGCGAATGCCTTACCAAGGAAGCTCTGGATGGGCTCGGTGACTTCAAAGTAGGAGGGCAAATTATTCAAACTGTGAAATATGCAGATGACCTTGTGTTAATGGCTAAGGAAGAAACTGTGCTACAGGGCATGATTGATAGACTAATTGAAATTGGAAGGTGCTATGGCATGGAAATGAATGTGGAGAAAACAAAAGTAATGAAAATTTCGAGACAACCAACCCCAGTCACAATAAAGATAGACCAAAAACAACTGGAGAATGTGAAATGTTTTAAATATTTGGGTAGCTTGTTAACAGATGATGGAAGGTGTACTTGTGAAATTAAATCCAGGATTGCCATGGCAAAAGCTGCATTTAGCAAGAAGAAGAATCTTTTTACCAGCAAATTGGACTTAAATTTGAGGAAGAAACTAGTGAAATGCTACATTTGGAGCATAGCTCTGTATGGGGCTGAAACATGGACACTTAGGGCAGTAGATCAGAAACATCTGGAATGTTTCGAAATGTGGTGTTGGAGAAGGATGGAGAAGATCAGTTGGACCGATTATGTGAGAAATGAAGAAGTGTTAATTAGAGTCAGTGAGCAGAGGAATATCCTACACTAAATAAGAAAATGGAAGGCTAATTGGATTGGTCATGTTTTACACAGAAACTGCCTTCTAAAAGAAGTTATCAAAGGAAAGATAGATGGGCGGATAGAAGTGACAAGATGACGAGGAAGAAGACGTAAGAAGATGCTGGATGACCTTGGGGACAGAAGAGGATACTGTCATTTGAAGGAGAAAGCTCTAGATCGCATTAAGTGGAGGAATTGTTTTGGAAGAGATTGTGGACCTGTCGTCTTGACAGATTACTGATGATGATGATCAATGATGGATTTGTTGGCCTTTTGATGTATCATGATATGCCTCACATGAGCAAGTGACTGGCTTGGGTGTGCACTTTGGACTGCAGACAGATCCCACATCTCACTGATGTGATACCTGTGAATAGGCACGGACACATTAGAATGGACTGCACCTTAATTCCACAGAAATAGGAAAGCTTGTGCACCTGACTGCAGGCAGATTTAGGTATAAACCAAACAGATGCTGCTAAGACTTTAACGATCACTGATACAAGATTTAGGTTATAGTGTTAACAGAGCTGAAGTACAGTAAGATCTAACTAATTTCAACTAACTGGGAGTGAACCCTTGTACAAACTGGTGACATTGTGAATTATATTAGTCCTACTGAAAATATGTTCAAGGAAGTTATAAAATGGTTTTCACATATCTTTTGTTATGTCTTAAAACATTATAGGTAGCCTACATACTTAGTATTATTGAGGCTGTTTAAAAATTGAACTTATTTTGGTTTGTGTCCCTCTTTTGTAGTGTTCTTCTACTATATCTTGCCTCATTCCCCTCAACATTAGGTAATATTTGTTGTATTGTAGGTCAGAGTCCACAAAACTGTTGATGGAGTCCAAAGTTTTATTTACAGATGAAATCTTAAATTCCATTAACAACAAAACGCACACTGATGGAACATCCTGTCACACTGAAGTGTGTAGTTTGGTGAGCTCCTGTTCACAGATAGTCTTGTTTTGAAAAATTTGGAGAGTGGAGGATTCTGATACATTCCTGGGTTTTTGAGAGGGCTGTTTGCACAACTTTTTATCTTTTGTTCCTACCAGCCAAGACCATGCACCTATCCGCACTCGATTCTTCAAGACAGAAAACTATGGACACACTCTGAACCTGAAGACAGAGGCAGCATTTACTATAACCACACAGGAACAGAATTAACATCAATTCTTTTATAACTGTATCAATGGTGTCTTTACCAGACTGAATAAACTTACATTACTAAAAGTTCTGTCTTCTGGGTTATGACACTGGTTACTGACATTTTGGAGGAACATGCTACCTCCATCCTGAGGGTTTAAGTAAGTCTGTATGATGAACTAACTGGGTATTCCTACTGGCCTAGACTGGGCTCCACCTCCTTTCTCCCTCCTGTGGGTCTGAGTGATCACCTTTCTTGCAAGCTGCCTATATAACCCAATATAGGAATGCAGTGTATCACAACTCAAAAGACCAGAATTTAAACTTACATTAAATTGTAAAAAACAAACTTCATGAAATTTGATACTGACAGCAAAGAATGTAGTAATCTAAATACCTACATTACTAACGAATACCATGGAGCAGAGTCCATCTTCAGAAGCTGCCAGCTGTGCAGCTACTCAGGAATTTCCCAACATTTTATGATGGAACCTGATGCTTCATTACTACATTCACAAGACCCCTCCACTGGTCCCTATCCTCAGCCGCATCAATCCAGTCCATACCACCCTATCATATCTCCCTATGATATGTTTTAATATCATCCACCCACCTACATCTTGGTCTTCCTAGTGGTCTCTTTCTTTCTGGCTTTCCCACCAGTATCCTACACGCATTCCTCTTCAGCCACAATTCTGGGTACATGCTCTTCCCATCTCATCCCTCTTGGCTTGATCATTCTAATTACACTTGGAAAAGAGTACAAGTCATTAAGCTCCTCACTATGCAGTTTTCTCCAGCTTTTTGCCACTTCATCTCTCTTCAGTCCAAATACTCTCAACACCCTGTTCTCAAACACCCTCAATCTATGTTCCTCCCTTAATGTCAGAGACTAAGTTTCACACCCATACAGAACCACAGGCAAGATTATAGTTTGTATATTCTAATTTTTATGTTTTTAGACAGCAGACATGAAGACAAGAGCTTCTGGCCTGAATGGTAGCAAGGATAACCCAAATTCAACATCCTCTTAATTTCCTCAAGAATCAAATTTGATCTGTTACTCTCATTCGTAAATATTTTAACTGTGCCATATTTTCAAAGGATTTATTAGCTATCTTTATGTCATGACTTTGCATCCAAAACTCTATGAGAATATTGTACAATACTTCCCTCTTAACTGAAACATAGGCTTTCTTGAAGTCTATGAATAGCTGATGTACTCCCATTTTTCTTTCTTCCAGCATTTGATGTATGCAAAAAATTTGATCAGTAGTTCTTGTGTCATGTCAAAACCAACACTGATCATTTCAAATAATATAGTCTACTTTACGTATCCACATATAATAATAAAACAACTGAAGAACAATTAAATTCCTTGCCCCACAACAGATGATAATTTGAACACATGATATAAAAGTATTTAGGCCAGCACTGAAAGTTAATATTTTATCTTACTCCTCGTATCTCTAGAATTAAAAAAAAAAAAAACTCCCCAAGCACTCTAAATATCTGTAGGGAAACGTGTATTTTATACAATTATTTTGCTCTGTATAATACAGGGAGGATTTTTAGTGTGTGGACCATGTCCATGGCTCTGCACTCCAGCGTGGTTGGTGCACCGCTTGCTACAAGCATACAAATGTTGCCAACAAATCAGCATGCCTGACAGCCCATAACATTCGCAATGAAGTAGTTACAATTTACAAACCATAGGAGGTGTTGAAAATACTATCCTCTCTACACGTGGATATTTTTTTGCATTAATTGTTTCATTAAAAGACAAAGGTGCAACAATCCTTCTTGCACTTACAGCACACCAAACACCAACTTCTTTCACTAGACTCTGACACTCAGTCTCTTGAGCTAGACTTTTCAGTGATTTTCTAGGTGTATCTTCAAGGCTGGCACCTATGGCATCTAACTTCTCAGTTTATTGAGTCCCGTTGTTCTAAGTTTATTCACAAAATTGTGAATTGTCTGTCTGCTGGGAACACGTTCATCACAAAATTTTCGCCTACAGTCTCTAGCAGATCTGTATTTCACGTGGGTGACATACAGAAATTCACGTTGCTCCAAAGTATACCGCACCATTACATACCACACCACACACTAACTGTAGCTGAGAAAAATTGCTAATGAAGCTGATAACTGCTGACAAATCATAAACTCCCACACTGCTCGCCATGCAACATAGTACAGGGTGGGGCACAGAAACTTCCTTTTTGTGAAGACACACTGTGATGGCAGGGGAGATCACAGAAAAGTGGGGATAGGCTTGGCGAATGCAGCAGTCGCAGAAGTTTCTGTCTAATAACCCTCAGTAGGAAACATGAGGTGGACAAGTGAGCAGCATGCATTTGCTGTCGAAGCCTATTTTTCGAACAACCATTCCTACATAGCGGTGCAGCATGCGTTCTGTACTCACTTCAGAGTTATGCCCAGAGGTCCGGTTCCTGACCGGAGACTGATTGTTTTGTGGGTAGAGAACTTTAGGACAACCGGGAGTGTGGTGAAAAAATCATCAGGACGACAACGGACCGTTACAATGCCAGAAAATGTGGAGGCAGTTCGATGGTCGATTTTGAGATCTTTCTTGAACCAGCTCTTGAAGAAATGCATCTAGGAAATGTCTGGTTTCAACAAGATGGAGCCACGGCCCACACAGCCCGAGCTTCGATGACAGTTTTGAGGGCAAAGTTCCCGGGACAGCTCATCTCGCTTCGAGGTGACATCCCGTGGGCAGTGCACTCACCTGATCTAACGCCCTGTGATTTTTTTTATGGGGATACCTCAAGGCAGAGGTTTTTAAACATTGCCCCACAAACCTGCTTCAGTTGAAGAATGTTATTCGGCAGGAAGTAGCCCAAATTCCGGTGCACATGTTGGAACGTGCAGAGGGGAACTTCAGAAAACGGTTGCATTAGTGCATAGAGAATGGTGGCCACCACCTTCAAGATATTTTGTTTAAAACTACATGATTTAAAACTTTAAAGAATGTTCTTTCATTAGCTAAACATAAATTTTGTCTATCAGCAATAATTTTTCTTCTATTCACCTTAAAAAAAAAGGAAGTTTCTGCGCCCCACCCTGTACCATCAAGCGGTCCACAAGTTAATTACTTCCTTTCATTCCAAATGTTATTAGCCATCAGGCATGTTGATTCATTGGCAAAATGTGTATGCACCTCACAGCAAGTGGCGCACTGGCCGCCATGAAGCGCAGAGCTGTGGACCCAGTGTCCACATACTAAAAATCCTCTCTGTATAATATTTTCATTAAAAAGGTAAAGCTGGCCATGGAACCCATAGGGTTGTGAGACAGCCAGGCCCCAAAATTTTCTAGACAATCAGCTCACAGAAGGTGGCGAGATTGTCAGCCTTTTGCGACGGCTGCCCTTTACCCCCAGGAAGATTCCTGGTACTCATTTCTGTTGCGGGCACACAGTAGTGTAGTTGGTTGAGGCACTATGCTACAACCTGGAAGGTCGCAGGTCCAAGTCCCGATGTGGTGGATTTTTTCAATTGACCTAATGCTTCCAGCTGCACTATGGCCCTGGGGTTGACTCAGCGTTTATCAGAAATGAGTACCAGGAATCTTACTGGGGAGTAAAGGGTGGCCAGGGCATAAGGTTGACAACCTTACCGCCATCTGTGAGCAGACTGTCTAGATATTGTGGTACCCTACACATCTCACAACCCTATGGGCCTCAATGGCCTGTTACAGGGATAGCTTTACCTTTCTTTTTACTCATTTCTGTTGGAGGCTGGGTCGACATCAGGGCCACAGTGTGGCTGGAAGGATTAGCTCAATTAAAAAATCCAGTTACCTCATCAGGAACCTAATACGCTAACTTTTTTTAAACTCGCTTACTAGGAGGTGGAGTCCAACTGGGTTCACTCTGCACGGCGACCACTGATTGGCCTATTGTAGCCTTCCCCGGGTGATTATGATAATGGAGAATTTGGTGGAATGAAGAGTGGCAGGGAAAAACTAAGTACTCGGGAAAAAACCCGCCCCAGCGCCACTTTGTCCACCACAAATCCCACTTAACCAGACCCGGGGTCGAACACGGGCCGCTGCGGTGGGAAGCCAGAGACTAATCGCTTGAGCTATGGCAGGGCCTATACGTGATCTTCCTCTTTATGGCATACTAATAAGGCTGTAAATGACTGTAACAGTTATGTATTTATGATGGTAAGAAGTATTGTATTTTTATTATGTGATGTGTACATCCTTGACATAGTCCTACAACTGATTCATGGAGCGTAAACAAATTCAAATTCATAACTTCGCAATTCAATAAAAAGTATCTATATACCATTACCTTGTTTAACAACAGCTGCATGCTGCCGCGATTTCTTCTCAGCTTTAACCTTAGGCATTATACCCTCACATCCGTTGTAACAAGTGTAATAATGCTTTAGTCCTTGTAATAATATTAATCCAACCTATAAACAAAGTAACAGCTGAAACATATTATATACACGTGTAAAGGGAGTACATCGTGAATTAACACGCCTTGAGATACACCAGCACAATGAATGCGTATTGTAATATATGCTGAAGGTTAGACCGGTCAGACATCCCTCTCTTTTACAGCTGCAACCCATACACTAACCGCTGATAACATGCATGCCCCTGCAAACGCAATGCTATTGGTGGACAACATAGCCACCGTGGCTTCATAAAAGTACCACTGGTGCCTAATTGTCGAAGGTAAGTCTATCGATACAAAATGGCTACCGCCAGTAACGAGAGCTCGATCGGTATGAGGGTGTGTTATAATACCACCAACCTCCGTGTACTGCTCCCTCCAAAAGCATCACTAGTTCACACGAATAACTACAAATAATTTACAACCCTAGTCTTTTGTACCGCAGAGGATCTTATGCCATAATGTTTTTTTTTTGTTTTCGAACAGAGTTTAATATCACTTCACTCAGAACCATCTGGAGGGACATGAGTGAAGCGATATCAAAATCAGTTCGAAAACAGAAAAAAAAAATGCAATATGAACCTCTGCATTACAAGAGATCAGGTCGCAACATTATTTATCGGGAGAAATGTTATGCCAGTGCCTGTAAAGTATGAACTTTTCATTTACATCAATTCAACTAGTAGTGACTGGTAAAACCAAGAGGAAAACATGTTTCTTTCAAGCCTCCAAAGCATATGGCTTTCCTTTTAATTACTACAGCCAGAAAGGAACATGAAAGGACACATTTTTTAAAATAGGTTCAAGAAATTAATCCCAGCACAGTCTTTGTATGGTCTCATCACTGAAGTTTCTGCCCCTTTTTTCATAGTAGTATTACAAGTATGTACATATTCGGTGATATCAGTAATACTTGTTTCATCATGGAGGAAACTTCTCCCAAGTTTAAGTCCAATGGAAGATCGGATGGACAAAATAATGGAAACATTGAGAAACTGAGGGATAGAATTTAATTTCTTTTTTAATCTCATCACCACCTGGCAATTTATACCATTTCAACTTCAAATGGGCTATCATTAGGTACTAACAGCTCAGCCATATGTATTTCTATCTGCCTAACATCATTGACCCTATGTACGTTCAATAAATGAGAGTAGTTCTTCCACCTATTCAGAATGTTGTAGGAATCTGCAAGAAGATCACAATTCTCATCCTTTACTGAGTTAGTTCTACATTGGCAATCCTTCTTATAGGTATTCCTCTATATAGGTCTCTCACGTTCTTGTTCTTAGTATTAGTTACAAGCTCATTAATTCTGTCTTTTATATATTCCCTCTTTTTATTCCAGAAATGCCTGCTGGCTTCATACCTTATATTGTTCAGGTTATCTACATTTATTTGGTTTAGAGCTTGTAACCATTGCAATTTGTCTGGCCTCCTTCAATCTAATAATTCTGAGCATCGTAATTGTCGAACTGTGGCTTATGCTTGTTCAATTCAAGTTATTAACCTCAACTCTGGCTGAAATATTTATACTCTCTCTGATAGTTTCCCAAGCTGAATTAATATCCACACCATCTGATTTTTGCAAACCTGTGAACCTGTCTGAGATTTCAACAGATACTGTTCTTTACCCTCTACCTCATTTAAATTCTTGCAATTGAACCTCTCCATATGAACTTTGTGAGTTGTTTACTCACTGCCAGATAGTGGTCAGTATCACAGTCCAGGATGCAACACTACAAGATTATAATCTCAAAAGTTATGTACCATCACCATACTTTAACATTGACTTAAAAATAACATCTTGTAACAAACAAACAAACGAACAAAAAAAAACAAACACTTGCAGCCTGTAGTCCGCAAGCGAACTGTACTGACTGAGCGACCGCCGCTGGTTGGCGAAGTTAGCACCAACTTTTGTGGACAGAGGGTGTCACACGGTCAGTGCAATGGATCCCCACTGGAGCTGCTATTTCCTTGAAATAGCTCCTCAATTATCCTCACAAGGCTGATTGGACCCCATTCCAGACCCATTACTTCTCAGATAATCTGGTAGCACTGGGAATCGAACCCAGGACCTTTGGATCTATAGCCAGAAACTCCAACCACTAGACCACAGAGACGGTCACAATAACATCTTGTAGGTACAGTAAACCCTCGCTAATCTGATGTAAGTAGGGAGATAGGTCATCCAGATTAAGCAATAATACACATCAGTGAAGTAAAAGGTGTTCCTAAAAGACAAGAAAACTTAGAACACAAATAAATGGAAAATTTAAATAAGTAGTGCTGATGAAAATAAACACAAATATCACTGTAGAACTTTCACTCAAAACTATAAAAAGGCAATATATTTATTCATCAATAGAAGACTCAGGACTTGTTCTTGTTTTTGAACATAATAATGCAGGCTTGAAGAAACTGTAATGTTGTGGCTAAATAGACAAATGACTGATCTGCCTCCCTAAAAGCCATGTCTTTTTAAAGTATGTACCCAACTGTGACCAGAATTTTTCATTTTTCAGTTTTCAGTCTGGATTATCTGACACCCAGATCAACTGTAACCACATTAGCAAGGGTTTACTGCATAATTATGATGTTTCCATACCCAATTTCACACACCTTGCTTCAGTGGTTCTTTCAGCAAACTGACGGTTGAAGATTATATTCACATATCTGCCATGTTATTTTAAATGCTAAAAGGAAAAAGAAACAGTCTTAACAAACTGCATATTTTTCCAAGATATTATAATACACCAATTTGTGGACCCTAAGTGAGTGACCCTTGTGTTACTCCCTCTTCACAAATTTGTGTCTGTCATGTTGCTATTATTGAGTGTAGGACATTAAAAAGTATGGTACTGAGGTTATCTGCAATAGCATAATGTCCATACCAAGTTTTGTGAAAATAAAATGCGGATTAAAAGTTTAAATGGGTTAAACACAGATCTCTTAAGCCACTGGCAACTGCTATGAGACAACCAGCATCTACATTGTACAAGTTAATGTGCTACACTAACATACCTGATGATGGTTGCATGATTGAAACATGTATCAATATACAGTGATTGTGAATGGCTAAATAAAATTATAGGGCCTTAGAACATCCCAATTTCTGCATAGAGGATGGAAACCTTGGCCTGAGGAGTTATGTGGTGCATGCACGCACGCACACAGATATATAGAATGGGTTTATCTAACACTCTTTGAAGAGGGCTCAAAGATGAAGACTTCATGTCATTTCAGAATTCCTTCAGATTAACAGATATCAAATTTGACATACAACCAGTACTTCCAAAAGTGAAGTGTATGATTCGGAAATTTAATACAGATATGACAGAAGCATTGTCTACAAAGACAAGCCAGAAACCTCTAAGGCTCTTGTCTACAGGCGACGCATACAGTAGTCTGGGGTAGTCTGATTGGTTGATATATACTAGCAGATGGTGAGGTCGCTTTATGAAACACTACAAGAACTTATTAATGCGAGTACTGTACGGACACACCCTGGGTTACACAAGACTTGAATTATGCAAATTGTTGTTCCATAAGGCGCACGATAAAATAAAATAAAATGAAATGCAAATATTTGTTGTTCTAAATGTTAGTTTTCTATGCTTACAATGAATTTTTTAATGTTTTCATTTTTTTCTACAAATCACAAACATGTATACATATACTACAGTAACGATTTCGACTTGCACAAAATTCAGGTCACACAAGACCTGGAATGGAATGATTATGTATGTCCGAAAGCTTCTGTACTGTAAAATCAACTTAACTACATATCAAATTTATAACAGTCTTGCCCAGGAGGTCACAGGACTGATATTCCATGCCCCCTGCCTCGATTGAGATCCCAAGTTAAGATCCTGTCACTGGAAGTAGTGGAATCACCATTTTGGGTGTCTCCAGGGATCCAAAAATATGAGTATCCATTTGCCAAGTACAAGAATTTAGCTAACATATTGTCATGATTTAGGGGTGACTACAGATAGGGTACGGATCAGTGAATGGATTTATTGACCACTTATGCACACCACTCGGAACTACAAGTAATTATAGTGCCACCACTAATCTCCACAATTCACAAATCACCAGAGCACCTGCTAAACCTTTTTCCAGCCTCCTTGTGTTCATCAGCCATTCCTTGGCAACGGCTTCTAACAGTGGAGATTTTTCAGTTTCATGCATACAGGTTCCATCTTCACAGCCTCCTGTGCACAACTGACTACAGGCACACCTCATTTTACTGTGCTTCACAGATATTGCACTTTTTACAAATTGAAGGTTTGTCGAGCAAGTCTATCAGTGCCATTTTTCCTACAGCATAGGCTCACTTTGTGTCTCTGTGTCACATTTTTGCAATTCTCACAATATTTCAAGCTTTTTCATTATTATTATTATATCTGTTATGGTGATTTGTGATTAGTCATCTTTGATCTTACTGTTTAAATATATAATATACCATATAAGAACTTAATCAATAAATGCTATGTGTGTTCTGGCTGCTCTGACAGGCCATTCCCCATCTCTCGCCCTCTCCTCGGGCCCCCTTATTCCCTGAGACACAACAATATTGAAATTATGCCAATTAATAACCCTACAATGGCCTCTAAGTGTTCAAGTGTTCTCTCACTTTAAATCAAAAGCTAGAAATGATTAAGCTTAGGAGGAAGGAATGTCAACAGCAGAGATAGGCTGAAAGCTAGGCCACTTGTGCCAAACAGCGAAGTTGTGAATGCAAAGGAAAAGTTCTTGAAGGAAATTAAAAGTGCTATTCCAGTGAACACATGAATGATAAGGAAGCAAAACACCCTTTCTGATATGGAGGAAGTTTTAGTGGTCTAGATAGAAGACTGAACCAGCCACAACATTTCCTTAAACCAAAACCTATGCCAGAGGAAGGCCCTAACTCTCTTCAATTCTAAAAAGTCTGAAGGAGGTGGGGAAGCTGTCTCTATAACATAAAAGTGCAAGGTGGAGCAGCAAGAGCTGATGCAGAAGCTGCAGTAAGTTATCCAGAAGATCTAGTTAAGAAAACTGATGACTGTGGCTACACTAAGCAACAGATTTTCAATGTAGGTGAAACAGCCTTATATTGGAAGGTGATAACATCAAGGACTTCCATTGCTAGAGAGAAGTCAGTGCCTGGCTTCAAAGCTTCAAAGGACAGCCTGACTCTCTTGTTAGGGGCTAATGTATCTGGTGATTTTAAGTTGAAGCCAGTGCTCACTTAATATCCTGAACATCCTAGGGACCTTAAGAATTATGCTCAAATCTTACATGCTAATCTACTTTGTGTGTGCTCTATAAATGGAATAACAAAGCCTGGATGAGAGCACATCTGTTTACAACATGGTTTATTGAATATATTATGCCCACTGCAGAGACCTACTGCTCAGAAAAAAAAAAGCCTCCTCCCAAAATATTACTGCTTATTGACAATGCACCTGGTCACCCAAGAGCTCTGATGGAGACGCACAATGAGATTGTTGTTCTTCTCATGCTTGCTAACACAATATCCAATCTGCCCCTCATGGATCAAGGGGTAATTTTGATGTTCAAGTCTTATTATTTAAGAAATTCATCTCATAAGGCTATAGCTGCCACAGAGGGCGATTCCTCTGACGGATCTGGGCAAAGTAAATTGAAAACATTCTGGAAAGGATTCACCATTCTAGATGCCATTAAGAACATTCGTGATTCATTGGAGGAGATCAAAATATCAACATTAACAGCAGTTTGGAAGAAGTTAATTCCAACCTTGATGGGTGACTTTGAGGGGCTCCAGACTTCAGCGGATGAATTTACTGCAGATGTGGTGGAAAAAGCAACAGAAATAGAACTAGAAGTGGAGCCTAAGATGTGACTGATTCGCTGCAATCTCGTGATAAAATTTTAACGGATGAGGACTTGCTTCTTATGGATAAGCAAAGAAAGTGGTTTCTTGAGATGAAATCTACTATTGGTAAAGATGCTGTGAACAATGTTGAAATGACAATAAGGTTTTAGATATTACATAAACTTAGTTGATAAAGCAGTGGCAGGGTTTGAGAAGACTGACTCCAATTTTCAAATAAGTTCTATTGTGAGTAAAATGCTATCAAACAGCATTGCATGCTACGGACAGATCTTTTGTGAAAGGAAGGGTGAATCGATTTGGCAGACTTCATTACTGTGTTATTTTAATAAATTGCCACAGCCGCCCCAACCTTCAGTAACCAGCACCCTGATCAGTCAGCAGCCATCAATATAAAGGCAAGACCCTCCAGCAGCATCAAGATTATGACTTGCTGAATGCTCAGATGGTTAGCACTTTTTGCAATAAAGTACTTTTTAATTAAGCTACATAAATTGTTTTTAGACATAATGCTACTGCACACTTAACAGATTACAGTATACTGTAAACATAACTATTATTTGCAGTGGGAAAGCAAAAAAATTGTGTGACTCACTTTGTTGTGATACTCGCTTTATTGTGGTGATCTGGAACTGAACCTGCAATATCTCCAACGTATGTCTGCACTCCCAGGCTGGCGGCCATTTCACACCAACCTCCTAGTTTTCACAGCCTGACATTCAACTGATAACACACTCAGTTGCTCCATTTGTCTTCCAGAAAACTCCTTGGCATGGAAAACCCCAGAAAACACTCCCATTTCCATTGCTGTAGTCCAACTGTTGCAGCTGCCTAGCAATGGGTTGCATAACACCATTAACAAGAGTAACTCTATTGCTGAAGAGGCCTGTTTACCATGCTGCTGCATAGCAATGACTATTGTCTCATTGTCTGTTTTGAGGCCATTGCCTAGCAACAGGTCTATATGCTACAATATTTAAGCAGCATTTCAGGAACCCTGGGTGTTCCAACATCAAAAACTGTTTCCTTTCCTAACTGTTCTCATATTTTATTAACCATAAACATAATAATCATGCATCCATGACATCATTTACTTCACAAAATTTAATTCCTCACACATTTTTCCTTTTATTCTCAAATTTAATAATGTGAAAAAAATACTTTGATTTGTTGCATACACATATTTTTATACCTTTCTCTTCCTACAGTGGTAAAATATTACTGTGAAATGTGAAATAGGGATGTTTCCTCCACAAAATAATTCCAATAACACTCACTGCTACAGCAATCACCATGAATGGATGATGTAATTTCTTTAATTTGGTGCTGGGTCCAATCCAGTCAGGAGGATACTTGTGATCACCGAAAGTAGTGGTAATGTAATGCATGTAAGTTTGTAATTCGTTATGAAAAGCCTTAGCTTTGTTGAGAGTAGACACCATCTTCAAATTCAGATCCTCAGCTCTGAAATTTGGCTCACTTTCGCAGCTGGGTAACATATGTATTTTAACATATGCAATAGATGCACGAATCATAGTGATCTGTCGTGCTATGTTGGCAATTAATTTTATTTCGTCTACCATTCTATATTCATTCTGCATGTTTTTAATGCTTCTCACATCAAGTGACTTCTCTTTCCATCGCTTCATATGCAGTTTACGTATCATGTCAAGTAAACGTTTCCTGTGGAGAGGTATAACTGAAAGGGCTTCTAATTCTTCTTCAGTGAGTGTCAAGAATTTTACAAAGTCCATTTCACTTTTCTTGAAAATATGGCCATACCTACGAAACATTCCAAGGTGATTCAAACAGCGGGCTATATCTTGCCACAAAATCCATTTCTTCCCATTAATACCACAAAGATTATCTCTCAGGTATTTCAACGAATCCATTTTTGTAGGAGCATGCTCAGTCTCCAAGGACACTGGAATATCAATGTCTCCAGTAGGGATTTGAGCAGCAATATGATGATAACCCAGATTCAAGGCATGAGTGTGTGCAGTCAGGCCTCTACCACACTTAATGCTTACATCTGCTCCAGCTTTTAAGAGAAGCAATATTATTTCCATTTCTCCATGCTTACTGTGATGAACACTCCAAATCAGTGGTGTCCAGCCCATGACATCTCGAGCATTAATGTCTGCATTTCTCTTTATCAGTTCTTCCACGACTTTTTTGCTTCCTTCTTTGCATGCAATCATCAATGGTGTCATTCCATTGTGCTGTCTCATATTTACACTGGCTCCAGAATCCAACAGGAGTTGGATACACTTCAATTTTACATCTTGACCTTGTTTACTACTGTCACAAGCACTCATCAAGACAGTGTAGTAGTGATGGTGGAAATTTGGATTTGCTCCTTTTTTCATCAAGTATTCCATTGCATCATACTGACAGTTTGAGGCAGCAAACATTAGGGGTGTCCATCCTTGCATAACAAAATCAACAGGAAAAGCTTTACTTTCAATTATTGACTGCAGAACTTGTACATTTCCATTGGTTGCTGCCATCTGCAGTAATTCTGTATCATTCACAGAGGCCTCTGAGTTTGGAGTCTGTATCTGCATCCTGGATCTCGGAATCTTAATTGGATTGGCAAATGAGAATCCTTCTTCATCTGATGCATCCTCATCACTTGAGAAACCTGCTGGCCTGAAGTTGAATGTCCTATCCATTATGACTCTATGAGATTAATCTGAAACTGAAACAGAACACCAATCAATAAGCAGCAGCAAAGCACAGCCCTCCTTACTCAAGCAGTACCAAAGTTTTGAGAACGAAAGTGCATCATCTTCAGTATCAGGTAGTTAGGTCATATATAGAAAGCTGCTATTCTCAACATACTTCTGGTATTCATATGCCAATTCCTTTTCTACTTTGCCTTAGACTATGCAATTAGGAAGGTCCAAGAAAACCAGTTGGGACTGAAATTAAACGGGACACATCAGCTGTTGGTCTATGCTGATGATGTGAATCTACTGGGTGATAATATGGATACCATAAAGAGAAACACACAAGCTTTAACTGATGCAAGTAAAGAAGTTGGTCTAGAAGTAAACACAGAGAAAACTAAGTATATGTTGCTGATTCATCACCAGAATGCAGGGCAAAATCATGACATAAAGATAGATAACAAATGTTTTGAAAATATGGCACAGTTCTGATATTTGGGAATAACTATAACAAATTAAAACCTGATCCAGGAGGAAGTTATGAGGAGACTGAACTTGGGTAATGCTTGCTACTATTCAGTCCAGAAACTTTTGTCTTCTTGCCTGCTGTCTAAAAACATAAAAATTAGAACATACAAAAATATAATTTTGCCTGTGGTTCTGTATGGATGTGAAATTTGGTCTCTGACATTAAGGAAGGAACATAGACTGAGGGTGTTTGAGAACAGGATACTGAGGAGAATATTTGGACAGAAGAGAGATGAAGTGACGGGAGGTTGGAGAAAACGGCTCAATGAGGAGCTTTGTAACTTGTACTCTTCACCAAGTATAATGAGAATGATCAAGTTAAGGAGGATGAGGTGGGCAGGGCATGTAGCATGAAAGGGAACGAAGAGGAATGCATATAGAATATTGGTGGGAAAGCCAGAAGAAAACAGACCACTGGGATGACCAAGACATAGGTGGGTGGACAATATTAAAATGGATCTTACAGAGATAGGATGGGATAGGATGGATCTGGCTCACAATAGGGACCAGTTGAGGGCTCTTGTGAACATGGTAATGAGCCTTTGGGTTCCATAAAATGTTGGGAATTTCTTGTGTAGCTGCACAACTGGAGCTTCTCAAGAAGAGCTCAGCTCCATGAGTGAGTGATATGCCAGTAAGAATTCAAACACACTTAATACAGGGCTTTTCTTCTGTAAAGTTGCCTACAGAAGGTACAACAGAGTATACAGGCCTTAACAAGTGTTGGCTTAATTAATCAGGCTACTGAAGCAGTAAAAGAGCTGTAACAGCATAACTGGTATAGCGACTGCTTACAGGCTGGATGACAGAGGGGTCGTAATCTGAGTCCCAGTAAGGTCAAGAATTTTAACTTCTTGATCTCATCCAGACCAGCTGTGGGGTTCAGACGACCTCCTCTTAAGTGGGTACTGGGACCTCTTTCCCTAGGGGAAAAGGGACTGGGGTGTGAAGCTGACCTCTCACCTCCAACTAGCGCCGAGGTCAAGAAAATGTGGGTCTATAGATCCACTCTCCCATACACCTTCATGGCATAGTGCTTAATTAGTTAAGCTTAGGGACAACTTTTTTTACCTTACTGAAACAGTAATGACATGATTCAAAATGAGCAATGTAATAAATACGCTGTACTGTAAGCAACAATCCTTCTCACTCAAACTCTTCAAGTTTCAATACAGGAAGGCAGCAAAAATGGACTGATTCAACAATTTAGGGACAGAGTACAAATAACAAGAGGCAAAGCCAGGTAAAATGGCAATTATGTGGGTTAGTAATCTTAATCATAATCAAAACATGGAAATCAGCACACGTTTGATAAACTAGTACTTGGTGGCAGACTAGAAAAGTTACAACAAACTGCATTACGTCTATCATTCGCAATTAGAAACAAATTCGGTCACAAAGAAAAGCATGATATTATGCACCATATGAAGTCTTCAGCCACAAAACATCTTTCTTCTATCAAAACAGTGAGACTTAAATCAAACTGTCTGAGATACAGTGCAAATTAAATTGTCAGAGGTGCAGTGCAATCGAGAGGAAGGACTGCAGAATAGGGGGCAGATATTATTAAATGTCATCTATTTCCAGTTATACATAATTGGCATTACTAAATTAAACTGCTCTAACATCAGGTTGCCTGTAATTCAACCACATGTATTTAAACCATGAATATGAATTTGTTTGAATTTAAAGTACGGCACTCCAGTCATCAATCTTATCATGTGAACACCAGGTCCAGTGCACCAACTTTTATTATAACCAGAAATGAAACTACAAGTACTTTCACACCCACAGCTGTTTGACACCTTCAAATCAGGCATTGGCGTCATATATCGACTCAGCATAAGAAACAAGAAATTTTAACTGTAAATTATGGTGTATTCTCCGCTGGTTGACACCGTGTAGCCTCATTGGTAGTTACCAACGTTTCAAAGGATGCTGCAGCCTCTGTCTTCAGGGTACAAAATGACAATACGTTCTTCCTAAGCTTTGATAGCCATCTACCAGATTATTTTATATCACAAATAAAGAAGATTACAATCCAAATTTTCATCACCAACAAAACTTCAATCTCAGATTAATGATCACAACAATAATTTGTACTGCTAACTATATAAATATAACCAAATGTGCCGGTCTTGTTAATAACATATAAAACATACGGAAATCTGTAAAATAATATAAACATAGCAATAACCAAATACTAACTTCGATTACTACCAATTTCTTACACCATGGAGTAGATGCAAGACATCACACTATAAACAAGTTGCCAACGACGGAACAAATCAAACCTAAAAGACTTCAAACCGTTCAGCCCATACCGGCTCATTCCATAGCCATAGCCATAGATACGACGGATACGACAAACACACAGTACTATTAACACGGATCACGACCATCACGACGTTGACACGATGATAGTTCCGAAACTAGATGGCAGGCCAAACTCTCAACTTGTATATGTAGACGATGTAGACGCATGCATTCGAAGGTTTAAAGGGAGTCATTAAAGATGTACGTGAGGATATTGAGTTACAAAATTTGATGGAACACCTTAACTCGGATAATCACAACCATCATAACAAACAGCCCATACCTTTCCATATCAATGACGCATCAGGCTTAAGATGTGAATCAAAGAGACGACCGAAGAAACAAAGGGAGGAAGTTGGTTGTCGAAGGAGTTGAGGGCAGTATGTTTGACATTTAAAACTAAGGAATTGCCACCTCAAGTACATTTTTGAAATATGAAAATTGAAGTTTACACTTTTGTCGCAGAAGTACGACAGTGTTATAAGTGTGGGAAATTTGGCCAAGTAAGTAAATTTTGTACGAAGGAACAACAATGCTTCCAATGCGGAAACGAAAAACATGAAGGCTCTTGGAATTGCTGGATTTTTGGACATCTTGCATCGTCCGGTATTCCGGAAAATAGAAAACAAGACGTTTCGGAAACTGGGTCTGTTTCCGTCCTCACGTGAAGGTTGAAGGCACCTAATCAGTTGGGTCCCTTAGAGAGAGCCAATCTCAATCACTGGACAATCCCTGTCAAGAGTTACACAGCTATTTAATCACCTGAGACCTGGCTAATTCGTTGGGAGATAATAAGAAAATATACAATAAAAACTGAGATAAAGCACGCACATACGTGGAACTAGGATAGAAAAGGAGGTTAGAAATTCGTGCTACAAACCCAGCCAATGAAAAACCAAGAGCATGAGTACCAACCCAAAGAAATGGTGGAAAAATTTGTGAAGGTTTCTTTAGTGTGAAAAATAAATGTAAATACAGAAAAGGCCTAAACAATGCCCAATCAGTAGCACATTCCTATAAACATCTTATTCTATTACAGCTGCTTTCCCGCGATTCTTAATATATATATAGTTATTTTTACTGCAATTGGGCTTATGTCTGGTGGCAGTGTTTACAAAAACGGACATACATTCAACAAAGATACAGCACATACGTCTCAAGAAATTTCATAGTACAATACAAGTACACTTCTCTTCACTTCACTTGCCCTGCTGATTTTGGTTTCCTAACCTTCTTTCTAAATATATGCGCTTTAATGGGGTGAGTCCCAACCACCCCTTCAGGTAACTGGTTCCAGTCAGCAATGGTCCTGTTCACAAAGGAAATATATACATCTTAACTTAAATCTGAGAGTATACTGTTATTATTTTGTATATCTACTTCTTTTTGTTTTCTTACATATCGATTTTAACACATCGACACATAGTTCCTTCCAAACTGTTTGCACCTACTAAAGATTGGGATTTCTTTGGATTCTGCTAGCTTTATATCGATCAGAGTGCTAGTCCAGTAGACCGGTGCTCTGCGTATTGCCCCGAATTTGATCTTGCCTAGCTTCTGTGCTTGTTTCTTCTTAAATTTATGGACTAAAAATGCTCCATAATCCATCCTCGACCTTATAAGTGCCTTACAGAGTCTCATTAAAGTTACAGGGTCTGATGCCCACCAAGTGTGCTTCAGAGAGTTTACGATTTTCATCAGGTTTTCGCATTTCCTAATTATTGCGTTTATTTTGTCCTCCCAGTCTAGATTAGTTTTTAAATGCAGAAATAAAAATTTAATTGATTTGACCTAAGAAACCTTTTCCCCTTGTACCGTGATCTCTCACTCTCCATCAGCTGTCTGTTCTATATCGATGATACACAGTCAACATTTTTTGGTGCTATCTCCAAGGCACTTTCCTTTAAATAAATTTCATTACTTTGTATTCTCTTTTCCACTTCTGATACGCCAATTTTAAATGAGAGAACAACAGAGATTACGCAAAGTGTGCAGCCCCTAAAGTTGTTCCATTGTTGCGACTGTGCAGTGTGTGGTCCTGCTCTTCATACAAAAGAACGCAAGGTTGCTATAACTAGTTTTGCAGAGATGGAATGAAACTAGAGATACGAGAGGTGCATAATTATCCAAACTAGTAGCTTAGGCAAAGTATAGAGTGTTGTTACGTGTTAGTAAGTAGACATTGGGTTTTGGAATTATTACCAAATTTATTTAACGCTTAAGACCTGTAAATACAAACAACGATAATAGTCTCACTAATCTACACACTTTGCAAATCACTACATCACACTATATTTTTCTTGGTTTGTTACGTCTTCACTAGCCGTTGCTAGGTGGCAGTTTCTAACAGTGTAAATTCATGCTTTCGTGCTCAAAGCTGAACACCAACTATGAGTGCTGACTCAGAATTACCCACTTGTGTCTATATAATTCAGCACAACATAGAAATAAAATGACATAGGCCGTTGCCAGCAGAGTCCTTCTTGGATTCTGGCCCCATGGGGACCAATGACTTTTTTTTCTGTCCATTTTCATATATGTTTGGAAACAGAGTTCCTTCTTCACTGAGGGAAGGGTGGTCTGAGTAGAGGCCACATTTGTAGCACTGTGATTCATCACGAGTCATAACTCACACAGCCTCCAGGTAAGGGCATTTATACTTTATGGACATATACACATTTTGCTACTTTAAAGTAGGAGATATTATTTATATATGTTATACAGATGACCTCTCTCTGTATCAAGTTATGCCTTAAAATGTTTATCCATTCCGAAACAACACATATCTGAATGATCGTAGGCCTGACCGCCGCCAAGTTTAACCTGGGCCACCTTAAACCTTACTTGGACAATGTAGACTGAGTTAGTACAATAGCACGCTAGCCATGAGGGAAGTGATACTAAATTGGTAGGAAGAGCGACTGAATTCAGTCAAGTTCCTTGATAACAAGAGATCAGACAATTAAATTATCCCGAATTTGAGGAATTATGTGGGAGGAATTGCTCAGTAATTGCTGCGCTAGTGAGATGGCTGTGTAACTCCCAAAATTGTAGGAAAAAAAAGGGGGGGGGGGAGACAGAGAAAATTTGTATGTATATAACTTGAAATTGGTTTTGTCAAGTAATGAACTGGTAGGTCTGGAAAGAGATGGGGTGTGTGTGTGAGAGAGAGAGAGAGAGCAATGAATAAATACTCTCATTAATCCAAATGGTTGAAACCAACCAGAGTTATGGTCAGAACGTCACAGGAAACTATTACATAAATTTTGGTAACCAGGGCAGGTGACTAGCTTCAGAGAGGGATTTGGCTCGGGGACTCTGAAAATGACACTCATTGGGGATACATGTGCTTGGTATCTCCGACCACCCATTTGTTGTTTCTCTCGAAATAAGTGTGTCTTAGGAATCAGTAACAGGACCTAAACCCAGTGACCAATTAAGTTGATCACTGCTGTGCATCTACCTCCTTAATAATACCATACTAATGAAGACTTGAAACTGCCAATCGGCGTTTGAGTGCCCCTTAATCACCCAAGTCACAGCCAGTCAACATGGCTTGAGTGGAGTCGGATTTCTCTACCGGTTCTAGTATTTACAAAAAGGCTACAGTTAATTATCATGTTCACGGTAGCTCAGTAACCAAGTGTGAGGTCCTGTGTAATAATTTGTAATATGCTGACTTTTTATATTGTGCAGCTGTAAGCCACTTGCTCAGCCCTCAAGATGTGGGGCCATCCTCTTCTGAGCTATCTGGTATTCGTTACTCAAAAAATATTTGCAGTGGTCCCTCCATATCTGGAGACCATCTCCATGACCTGAAGGATGTGCCACACCATGGTGACAAGGGATTTACAGGTTCAAACTGAACATACCACTGGTCATGTCTTTCTCGACATTACAGAAGTAATGTCACCATAACACACCATAAAAGGAGACTATTTTAAATTACAATACAAGACTCCAATGTACAATTAATTTATTAGTGTAATGGGCAACAACGTTTTCAATGAAATTAAAAGAATCAAATATTACTGTTTTCATTGCAAACCTAACTCTGAAGAGAATTACATAATATGGCATGTCACTAATACCAATAAAAAACTTTGTATCAAGTACTTTACAGATTTCATCTATTCACATGATGAAATTGGTAGCGATCCTCAATAAATTACTAGTGGGTAAGAACTGACAAAATAAAAAACACAAGAAGCCAAGGCTATGATAAGAAAACATTACAAAAATTTTGTAGGAAAATTAATTTGCTGAATTTGTGCCATATGGAATACACAGTCACAATAGCTGTGTGCATGCAGATTCTTCAAATATGCCTGGGTTGACGTTCCTCAGCTTTGTTTCATTCCAGCGTCTGACAAGTTCATACATTATTACAGCTGTAATTCTTCTTGCTTTGCACTAAAGAATACAGATTTAATGTTCCTGTTTCTCTGTATATAGCACACACTGTTCTGATAACATACATGATAACATGGACAGTGTTACACGATATACATTTTGAGACATTTTAAAAATGCTAATTTTTATGCCATTGGAAACCACTTCTTTAAATTTTTACAGAATTGCACTTCAAGTTGATAATTTTGTTAGTTTTAATTGAGTAATAAAGAAATGTATGTGGACTTGAAAGGATTCTGACAATGGTGTATACTGTACTTCTTTTGGCTTATATTGGACTTGATCCATCGTCTGGTATGTAAAAGACAAAAGACCACAACGTTTCAGAGACTGGATCTGTCTCTGTCTTCAGGTGGGTAGGAAAGCATAAACCTACTCAGTTGGGTCCAGTGATTGAGACTAGCTCTTTCTAACAGGCCCAACTGAGTAGGTTTATCCTTCCCCACCCACTTGAAGACGGAGATAGATCCAGTCTCCAAAACATCATGGTCGTTTGTCTTTTACATACCAGATGATGGATGAAGTCCAAAATAAGCCAAAAGAAGTAAATGTATGTGGATTGAGAGTGAATATTTTACAAATCTATACGAGTAACTTTCATAAACAGGATGATATTGTAAACATATATATACAGGGTGTCCCAGGA